GTGGCGAAGCTGGGGGACGGACAGGGGGAGGAGCGGGTCAGAGCCGGGCATTCAGCATTCAGAACGGTGCTGAGCTAAGATGAGCCAGGCTGAGCTATGCCGTTGTGTAGTGTGCAACTATGCGGTGCTATTAGTAACGGGACATGTTACTATACCAAATTGTTTAATACTGTACTATACTGCATAAAAAGTAGGGCACAGTGCCGCACAACTCCATCAAACACAGTCACACTCTGGAGAGTGCTGCACAACTCCATCAAACACAGTCACACAAGTCCATCAAACACTCACGTTCTGAACAGCGTTACACAACTCCATCAAACCCAGTCATTCTGCTCAGTGCTGCACAACTCCATAAAAAAAAAATTGCGATCTGCACAGAGCCATACAATCACATTCTGCACAGAGCTACACAATCGTGTTGTGCACAGAGATGCACCTTTCCCCCTGTGCCCCAGCACCCCCGGTGCGCGGAGCTACAGTAGATAGATAATACTTTATTAATCCCGTAGGGAAATCGATGTGTTACAGCAGTCCAGCCCAAGACAAGCAAAAAAGACATCAGAATAGTGATAAAACAAAAGGCAACAAAATAAATAAAGATGAATAAATACACAGGTGTGTGCAAAATGTGCTGATCATAGCCACTGTAAAAACAAAATATGTGCAAAATGGGCATAGGTTCATACAGACTGATTGTCCAAAAAGTACAATGGAGCAAACATGCTGTCCCTAGAGGAGCAGATGAAGGGCTGACAGTCCTGGCCCGGGGCAGCGTCATACACCCTGACAGCCGCCGGGAGGAGAGACCTGCGGAAACGTTCCCTCGAGCTACGGCGTCCGAGGGAGCTGGACTCACGAGAGCGAGATGGACAGGTGGAAACGCTGCCGCAGACCCCGGAACATGACGAAGGACTTCGGGGGGAAGGAGCGCGCGGAGACGGCGCAGTAGGGGCGCTCGAACCCCCCGGCCGGGCAGTCGCAGCGGAACCCCCCCTCCGCCAGGTCCCGGCACGTCCCCCCGTTCCGGCACACCCCCGGGACACAGCGCCCCTTCCTGCGGTCCACCTCACAGCGGTCACCTGGCGGAGGAAGAGGCCGGACGGCACAGGGCTCGGGTCAGAGAGAGGGGGCAGTTTCTCGAGAGGCCAGGCCATCAGCCTGCAGTCTAGATCAGTCCATCACCTGTGCACCGTACTACACACACAGTCTCTCACAGCCCGGGCCCTAGCCCCCATTCCATCACCAGAGTGAGAAGGGTTAACAGGACACTGCATTAATCGCCAGTTAATGGCACTGTTAACACAGTGAGGCAGGAGACAAGAGCGACACAGACATCAGTCAGACCGGCTTCATACACATACAGTGGTGCTCGAATTTTCCCATGACTCTGACCTAAAACGTGATTAGAGCTTCATCTCAGTCATAAAAAAGAGAGAACCCAATAAAACAATCACACAAAAGGATATAGTTTTTCCATTCATTTACTGATCCAACATTAAAAGTCTTTGTCGGAAAAAGCATGTGAGCCTCTGCTTCAGTAACTGGCGTGACCCCCCCCTTGAGCAGCAATGACTTCAACCAAACTTTCATATACGGTAACTGTTGATCAGTTCCACACATCAGCTTGGAGGAACTGTGGCCCGGTCCTCCTTACAGAACTGCTTCACCTCGGGGATGTTGGGGGGCTTTCTCGCATGAACCCCCACCTTTGGTCCTGCCACAACACTTATTTGAAACGACTCGGCCATTCCAGAACACAACATTTCTTCCACTTCACCCATTCTCTGATAGACTGACTTGCATGTTCAGGGTCGCCATCTTGCTTCAGGGCCCACCTTCTGTTGAGCTTCATGGACTCATGAACACTGTCGTTAGCCAGTGCAAGAGAGGACTGCAGATCTTTAGACATTACCCTGGGGTTCCTTGTGATCTCCCGGAATATTATACACCTTGCTCTTGGAGTGATTCCTGTTGAACGACCACTCCTGGGGAGAGTGACAATGCTGTTGAATTTTCTCCATTTGTACACTATCGGCCTGACAGTGGACTGGTGAAGCCCAAAGTCTTTAGAAATCATTTTGTAACCTTTTCCAGCATCAACAACTCTTTTTCCAAGGTCCTCAGAAACCTCCTTTGATCAAGGCATTCACCTGCATGATGAAGACCAGACTAATACTGAGGACCCAGGTTTATGTTTTTAAATAGGGCAGGGCCCCCCCAAACTCACACCTGATTGTCATCCCATTGATTGACACTCCTGACTCTAATTATCCCCTTAACTGAACTGATAATCCTAGAGGTTCACATACTTTTGCCGACAAAGACATTTAATGTTGGATAATTTTGACCAATAAATGAATGAAAACGTTTATCCTTTTGTGTGTTATTTGTTTTACTGGGTTCAATTTATCTATTTTTATGACTTAGATGAAGATCTGATCTGTCAAATTTATGCAGAAATTCAGAAAATTCTCACAAACTTCCTAGCACCACTGTACCATCACAAGAATCAGAAATACATCACTAGGCCTGCTCCTTATTTCACACTGTTCACATATTCAATTCATTTTCTTTATTCCACTGATTAATTTGATTAGATCCTATGTCTGTTTCATAGGTTTTCACAAAGGAGGGAGGGATACTCAGTGTATCGTTTGAAACACAGGTCTCCTGCCTTTAATTTGTCCCAAATCACCTGTTTCTATCAATCAAGAACACTTCCGAGTCACTGATCAATCTGACCAGCAATTTGCGTGAGTAAGAGAGCTGATGAGGGCCGTTCTTAAATGACTTAATCTAACCAATCACTAGTCCAATTGATCACAGGCTGGTGGCGGCCTTCAGGAGCTGGTGATTTAGTGGCGCCCTATTAAAACGAGCGGGACTGGGTCTCCCCTGCTTGGAATGAAGATGTAATTGCTTTGCCAATCCTGTTAATGATCGCCAGGCCAATCAGATGGAATTCAGTGGAGGGAGGGCGAGGGCAGGAAAAGTGGAAGAGAGAGAAGAGACGGCTGCAAGCCAGTCTGTGATTTTTCATCATAATAATAATAATAATAATAATAATAGTAATAGTAATCTGTTGTGAATATCAAGAAATGTTTGTTGATAATTATATATATGGGAATACAAATGGGTGTGCAATGATTTTCATTTGTGTGTGTGTTAGCAGCACATGGCCATCAGCACTTTTGTGCTTGGGTGTGTGCATGTGTGTGTATGCTTGTGTGTGTCTGCGTGTGTGTGCTTGCTTGCAGACACGTTTGCAGTGTGTGGCTCTGTGCTCAGTAGTTGTGTCCCTCCGGTGTGAGGACACTCATTCGGAGGCTCTCTGGGAAGATGATATCAGCCTTCCTCCAATATAATACAGGCCATTATTGACGGTATTGCGTCTGATTTAAATGCAATTAGACTGAGATGAAAAGGAGTTACATTTCCAACTACCCTAATCCCTGCCTGTGATGAGATGAGGCAAAAGACGAACCTTTTTAATTAACCTGTTGCTGCCTGATAAAAAACTAACAGATATATGAAAAAATTACGCTGAATTCAAAAAACGATATGAAATCCTCCGATACACGTATCTCTCGCTATATCAGCAACTGGCAGCGTAGGACATATTACTGTCGCGGATAATAAGATTCCTTTCTGCTAAACAATTCCCATTTCCCAGTGAGGACGGCGCCTTCTCCTCTGTTATTCGGTTCCGAAACCTGCACTGGGGACCTCATCCCAGACTGCTGCCTCCCATGCTCTTTGTTCTACAGTGCCGTGAGTCAGACACAGACAGATCAGGACCCAGATACCGGGATCTCCTGTCTCCTGCACCGAATTCATTAAAACACAGGCCTGGAGCGCAGCCTGGCCTGCGCCCCCACACAGACAGAGGCTCTGTACTGCTGCAGACAGGGCGGGGCTGCTGGAGACAGAGGGAGGGGGCGGCGCTGTGTGTCAGGGCTGCCCTGCTGTCGTGCCCAACGAAGCTCATCCTGAATCACAATGTCTCCGAGAGCCACAGCCGGAAAACTGAGAGCGAGAGAGGCTCGGACAAACGGAGGACGGAGCGCAGGGTAAGAGGAAGGCTCTGACTCAAAAACAGGCATTGGGGAAATGTAGAAGTTGGGGGGCAATACCCACTCTAGGCCAGTGAGGTCACGCAGTGTGTTAGTCCCTTGTGGGCTTCCCGTGAATTGGAAGGGTCTGAAAAGTTATTTAGACTAGTGTTTTCTAAGAAGGACTCGGACAGAGAGAGACAGAGGCAGCAAAAGAGGGAGACAACGTGTGGCACTTGCAGTCAGCACTGATTGGCTAATCATGACGGAACCCAAGCAGCGATTGGCTGACTGTGATGTCGCGTGAGCCATGATTGGCTGGTTGCGGTGACACTTGAGCAATGATTGGCTGATCGCGATGGTGTCACGGACGTCCAAAGGGACTAACCGTGGGGAGCAGGAGAGCAGAAAAAGACCCATATGCGTAGCGGCGAGACGGGAAAAAGGCCCGGGCTCATTAGTGCAAAGAGTTCAGGAATGCCGTATAGAAACCTATGCCCTCAGGGAGCGGACGTGGGGCGCCCTGGTGCTAGGCGGGTCTCAGGACATCC